CTGCTGATCAGAGCAGCAGTAGAGCGGAGTCAGAGCGGGAAGGAAAGGAGCAGAGTTTGTGGCAGTAAAGTGTGGATTTAAAAAAAATAAAATGATTTAAGAAGAAAAAAAGTTCAAGATGACAAGGGACACTAAAATCTCCACAAAATTGGATCTTTATGAAAGCTGTAGGTTCTCTGTCAGCTGAGGTCAAGCTGTTTTAATTTACATTGAGTTCTATTGGACTTTTTTCTGGGTAGCCCGCGTGAATTTAGTCTGCAGCACCACGGGCGCCCCCTGTGCCCATGGGTGGGTCAGCTAAAAGCTAGTAATACCCTATTATTATTAGAGATCCATGAGGCAAGCAGGGTAGAGAGTGTGTGCCCAAAGAAGAGGAGGAGGAGGTTGCGCGGCTTGAGAGGGAGGTGCCCTCTCTCTAGGCTTTGCTGTGCGATAGGCCGAGGATGAGACTCTAACCAAAGAGTGAATTTCCACGGGCACAACTCTTCACTTGAACCAAAGTACTGAACTTAAATCCAAAGTGAGCTAAACTGAAACCAAGGTGTTTTTTCTTTATTTTGTAATCCCCCATACCGAAACTAGGTTATTCTGTTGGTAAGTGAGTAGTAATTAAGTTACACACCATCCATTCACTCCATACACTGTCTTGAAGGATTTCCAGACATAGCTCTGCAATGTTCCAGTTTTTTGTGATTTGAAAATTATGTACTCCAGCTTTAACCACCTGAGTCTAACACATGAATTCTCACAGTAATTGGGTTATACATGGTACATACAAGCTGCAGAACACATCTTGTCCCAAAGGGGTGGGATGTCGGTCCACTATATTGGCAGATCAAGTGAATTAATCCCTTCTTTATTCTTAATCCCCTTCCTTATCATACGATTATGGAAATCCAACTCCCTCCCACCCTCTCACATATTCAATTTCACCCATCATATTACTCCTGGCTTAAAGAGAAAAGAGGCGCAAAGACAACAGGACTTATAGCTCAAGTTTGTTTGGTCTCACACTTTCTAATGCAAAACTAATGCACAGACTACGGATGGGTCAACCTTGCTTTGGTATTGAGTGTTTGATAATCGCCTTGAACTGCAACGAATAGCTTTCAAATCTACATTTATACACAAGCTCAATACTGACAATATACTGGAAAACCTGTTTAAAAAGGACTATTTTTAAGAAAAACTAAAGCAAACTATATAATACCTTGATTACATATATATCTATATCTATCACAGGGGTTGAGATGGAAAGCGTGGTCAAAATGGTAAACAACCTTTACTACACAAGGGCAAACATAGAATGCATTGCCCACTTTTCTTATTTTTCTTGTTTGAGTCAGAACATCATGAATAATGTCAAGACATTCGATAATTTTGTATAATATGTACCTTGAGATGAGGGTGCAAATGCAGTATAATTTGTTTCAAAATAATCATGGAATAAAAGCACACACAAAGAGAAAAAAAACATTTCCCAAATTGCTGTTCTTTGCTGTGTTGAACCATATTTCAGATGAATATACTAATCCACGAGCAGGTATGTGTTCTAAGTGACAGCGTATCTTGTCAGCACTGTAGCAACATGACATTACGTCAAAGTATTATGATAACCCGGTGCGTCACCCTTTTCGCCGACATTAATTAGCTTCTTGATAGAGGGCTAACAACGGGATCACTATCACCTCTTTGCCACGAGGACTAGCAGCAAGAAATACTGCCATCATTAGCACATGACTAGACTTTTTAAATATCATGCGGCCTCGGAGGGACTCCATGTGAAACAGCTTTTTACACAACATATAAGAAGTATTTTGACTTGTTTGAAAGTCAAACCAAGAATTGATATTAACCTTGTGGGTGGAAGTTGCATGCTGCTGTTCTGTTAAATGTTTGCATAGCTTTGGTCTATGCACAATGAGACGAGGAGAGCAAGGTGCAGAGGAGAGGCGTACAGCGAAATTGAGTGTGCTCATAAATCAAGTCAAGGTCCAAGTTCTTTGCTGCCGCGAATACCTTTTTTTCTTCCCTCCACCGCATTTCTGGACTTTTGACAATTCCATCTTGGTCGCTTTTAATCTCATCAACAAGTGTAGTGGGGGAAAGCGAGACAGATACAGAGAGGGGGTGTGATAGAGAGATAACCTGTCGATATCTCTAATCAAACAAGACTCGATCAAAGCGCTTCCCAAGTCCATACAGGCTCCCGGATTAAGCCACGTCATGCGCAACCTCCTCGACAACACAATAACACCAGTGAAGAGATTATGTGGAGGGGGGAAATCTAATTCAAGTGGGATTTGGGACAGGGGGCACCGCTCTACGCTGTCCATAGTGTGTCAAAGTGCAATGCGTATGCGTGGAAATGGTGATGCTGCATGTTGCCGTGTATGTCTGTGGCAATGTGCTTATTCATTACTGGTACTGTTGATACTTGAAGGAAACGTTTAATTTACTAAAAAGCAAGAGAACTGTTGGATCTTTACGTTTGTCTTAAGGTTCAGATACCATAGATATTACATATAGGTAATTTCTATGGCCTACAAGAATAGATTAATGTATTTGGTTTCAGTTGTGGTCTTGGTTCCAGCTGTCTACAGTATATTCCATCTACTTGGCAGAAATATTGTGAAGCAAAGATGACACAATTTATCATACTATATGCTTTAAAAAAGAGCTGGGGCGACAGTGGCTCAGTTGGTGGAGCATCGGCCTTTGGGCCTGAAGGTCGTAGGTTCAAATCCACCACGAGATCTACTTCACGACTCCCACTGATGTCTGCTGACACTTATCCCCCCTTTGCCTAAAGCCCCCACTGAAAGATCTCAGCTCCTGGGGACTCACCTCCTGCAGGAGGATCAGTGAGTGAATAATTGACATGGTTTTTATGAATGCCACAAACGACTGGTTCATGATTTTTGTATTCTCGTTGGGCCAAAACAACATTTTCAATACCCTTTCAAGATCACATTTCCCATTTGATTTGAGTACTAGTGAAATTCCTTTTTTCATGTTTTTATGTTCAACTCTTTGGGACTTTAGGACACACAGGCAAACACAGGTCCAGGTTAGAAACCAAAATAAAATGGGAAAACCTTTACCAAAAAATTTTTTATTGATACAAAATGACAACAACAGAATCGTTGTTTGTTTTGAAGAAGCATCATTATCAGATCTAAACAAGTACGTAAACCCTCTTAGGCCTAATGCATTCTGTCGATTAGTTAGACTTGACTGGCTTTTCCAGTCAGTGGTAAATCCCCAATCTATTACTCACTGGAGACTTGCAAGTGTTTAAAAGCAGGAAGAAATATAGGATGCTTGTGTAATGACCATAACTATAGTAATTCGTTTGACCAATGTTTTATTTACCACTCTCCGCTGACTGTGGGCCATTAGGAAGACGTCGGAGGCTTATAACTCAATGCTACTAGTAAAAGTCGGATAGTGCTTACAGCGGTGAATCGAAAGGGATAAATGGGGCTTTGAAGCTGCTGTGTCTTTGAGGCATTCCAAACACACGAAGGATGATGTCTGAAAGCTTTGGCCTGATGATACATGTTGGGATGAAGATGAACGTTGATCCTTATTTTATTTTATTGTATTCTTATCTTAATTTTATTGTCTATTATCTTAAATAATAGACTTATTTGATGTGTGCAATCTGAGTGCTCTTATTTCCTTTCTCTGCTGTAATGTGCGCAACGATGACACTGAAAATTCTCCACTGTGAGGTTCATCTTATCTTATCTTATCTTATGTGTTTATAGGCACCGTATAATATACAAAATCAATAATCTGAAAAATAAATAGCAGGAATAGTGTGAATAATGAAGTATTCCTAATACATCATTTGACAAGCTAAAAATGTAAATCTGCACTTTATCTATCGCCATGGGGAACTTTGTCCTCTGCATTTGACCCAAGTCTGTGATGATTCAGGTTCCCCTTTGCAATATAAGTAATATAAATATATATTTTTTCAGCCTTTAACAGGAATTCCTGTCCTCAGCATTAATGTTGCATGGGACCACACTCTTCTCCCTTTGCTCCGGGTCCAATCTGTCAAACATTTTGTGTCTTGTATTCATAGTCGTCGTGGGTATCTTTTACAGCTGCACTTTACCATTTCATCCAGATTTTATCTTTTATTTTTTTTGCTGGCTTTCTATTTTAGCCCTGCCCTGCAATTACACTAGCCATTAATGTCTCCCTTTCTTTCCCTTGCCTGCGATAAAATGGCCCAGATCAGTGTCAAATGGAGGGGAGGACCAAAATAGTATGTGATATGCATGTAATAACAGCCTTGGAAGTACCATTCAATATTTATTCACAATGGTGGGTAGCAAAGAGTTGACAACTAATAATGACTCCTTTAGTTAAACATGGACTTCTGGTTCTATGATTGAACATATTATTTAACAAGGACAGTCACTGAGTGTGTCTGGACATCTGCTGTCACGGAGGCCTCTCTTTATAAGTATGTATTCAGGGTGTCCTTACATAAACCTTTGTACAATTTCTCATGTTTGATTAATCTAATGGATCAAAAATGATCATAGAAAGACAAAAACACTATATGTATGCCAAGTTACCAATGGTGTTGATCAAATTATTTTATCATCAATCCATAGAAACATTAGGCGAACATATGTTGGGAATACATTGTTGACTTGCAATACTATTTTGCCAAATCAACTTATTCAACCTTTACAACTTTGTTCCTTCATCTATCTGCTCTATCACACAGCTCCTGTCAAACAAAAGAAGCGCCCATAAATTAATTTAGGCAATTCAGAAATCAGATAACTGTGTTTGCAGTCAGTAATTGTAAAATTAGAAGAAAATAAAAGAAAAAATTTAAACCTCTCCCAGTAGTGGTAGCATCGGGAGTTATAGGCAGAATACATTTTTCATAATACCTCTGCTTTAAACTATTCCCATATACCTGCTTACAATCAAAGGACCCTGTTCAGGAGAGGTGTCTCTTGTAAACAATGGGTCAGTCAGAAAGTGTGGGGACATAAAAACCTAAATTGGAAAAACAACATCCAAAAGGCGTCTTTACCTGAGATGACTTCACTCAATTGGTTCACTGAGTGGGCCGAAACACATGCAGTTGCCAAAGAAACCGGAGTATAAAGTAAGGCTGGGGTACCAAAAATGAAAGTACAAAGGCATTCAGATTTCTTTTGATTTGTCGGGACATAAAAACACTCTCAATGAGTGAATTTGATACCATCTCTAGAGTACAGTTTTTATCATGCAACAGCTAAGACAAAGTAAAGATCTGATTGGGACAGAAATAAATTAACTAATTAATACTGTAGTCGTGTAGTCCGACAATAAGGAAAGGCTCACAAATAATCACACGTTTGGTTTTTGTGACATGTGTAACACAGGTGTCAATTTGACACCTGCGTTACACATGTCATGAGAGAAAACATGGAATGGTCTTCAGAGACCTGGTGGCTGGAAATATTCCAGTCTTAGCATTTCAAAGACTTTCTTTCATTCACCATTCATTCACCATCACTATTATGCAGGCTTCCATTTCAACTACATCCAACTCTGTCCAACTGTCCCCACTAAATATGTCTTGCTTAGAATGATATTGAGTCGATGTCATCAACATGGCTGATTGCCTTTCTGGTGGGTCCTGGATCCATTTGATAATATTAGTAGAGCTAACTCTACCCTTTTGTTTCAGTGAGGAAAGGGACCATATGATTGTTCCATTTTTGGAAGAGAGCGTGTTTGCAGGTGACTGAGGGACAACAGCAGGGTCAACACTCTCATTCTCATCAGAAGAGAAATCCTCAAGGGTCCTCCTCAACACAGTCCTCTGTCTCAGAAACAGTCTCCTCTATGTCACTTTGACTGTGACATCTTCACGTCACCTCTATGCAGTGTTGGACAAGTTACTTTGAAAAAGTAACTAGTTACTTCTAAAAAAGAAGTCACTCAGTTACACTACTTTTGGCCTGCTTTGTGTAACATAAACAGAATTATGTCTGTGCGTTTTCTTTTTTAAAGTAATTTAAATAAAGGTCAACTTCAAATAAGTTCAGCTGGCAGAACATCAACATGCAGGACACTTCTTGCTGTAGCACTTTTCCAGATGTTTACACACAAAAAAATTCCGTCACTTATTCCGTCTAATCCATCCACATATCTTACGTAAAATGTTTCTCTATAGTTGCAGCATCTCTTCTAAAACGTACACCTAAGTCTATTTTGTTTCCGTCTTTGAGGTTTTCTGACAGCGTCTTTCTAGCCCAGGTTCTTACAGCGTGTTGGTGTCGTCCTGTCGGAGGCAGCAGCTGCTTCGCTGAGATGCTCTGTTGCGACTAGTTTAATAATTGAGTGTTGACCATAGATTGTGAGACGCTGCAAGTGTTTTAAAAGGTTTGAGGATGAGTTGGCTGCATATTGTAAAAATGGTGCATATCTTCTCCTTCGCTAAAGAAGTCTCTTGCTCATGTTCTCAATGTGACATAAGCACCTGCACGCATACAGTCAACAGTTCTCCAATGTTTTCCTCATTTGCTCGGCGCTTACTCGGGTTTGATGTGGAGTTCTTTGCTGTTAATAGTATTTTACTTTCCACGCAGTTTACAACGGACACTGATAATTGTGACCACGACTGCCTCGTATTCAAAGTAATACCTCCATGAATGAAATACTCTGTGGTTGTCCTAATCATCATGATTTACGTTGCCACTTGTTGTATTGACTGTCTTTGTAATGTTCGATGTAATGTTTATCATGTGGCTGTGGTTGTATCTCTCATACTGTAACTCATCGTCGAGGAGACAAAAGTCACAACCCTAATGATTTTGTAACACAATGTAATGTGTTACAAAACCGTTGTAACACAATGGGCCTCATTCACGAATAACTTTGTTAGAAAGTAGATTTCTAAGAAGACCCTACGTGGGATTCATCAACTCGCTCGTAAGCCTCTGAATTGTTCGCCGCTGTTGTCTCAGATTGATGAATGCCATTTCTACGTAAGTAGAGCGCGCGTGCTTCATTAGCATAGGTACTTAGCATAGGTAACCTCCCATTAATGCCCATATAAGGGACTTCAGGGCCGTGTGCAGACGCCAGAGGAAACAGCAACATGCCTAAAGCAAAGAGTTACACGAAGCAAAAGAGTCACCCTTTTTTCTTCTTTTGCCAGACTGAGAATAAAGTAATAAAATGTTGACTTAAAAGTTGGAATATTATGAGAATAAAGTCGAACTAGCAAAATTATGAGATGAATCTAAAAATATGATGAGATTAATCTCAGAATGCTATGAGCTTTATTTAAAAATATATTATGTATTAATTTAAAAATGAATCTCAAAATGTTTTGAGATCAATCTCAAAATATTTGGGGAGATCCAGCACGGACCAGCGCTGAGACCAATGTAGACCCGAGGAGAGACTGAAGTGACCAGCACACAGAAACCAGCGCGGACAGTAGAGACCGCAGAGACTGAGTGACCTGACTGGAGAGACCGGTGCGCAGAGACCAGCGCGGACCGAAGAGAGACCGCATAGACCAGACTGGAGAGACCAGCGTGGACCCGTATGGATCCAGGAGCATGCAGCACGGACCCGTATGGAGAGACCAGTGCAGACCCCTATAGATCCCCCTCTCAACAAAGATGGCGCCTCGTACGGTCGACATGGCTCTTTGCTGCTCTCTTTTTCTTTTGTTTTTACTTTTTAACTGTGCATCTGGCTGTTCCTACACCCGTGAGGAACTTATGAACATCCGACCCACCGTTCCCATGGACCTATTGCCTGTTTTCTTGGCATCTGCGGCTGATTTAGTTCACGTTCTAGCCAAAAAAGTGTGGACCCGTAAAAGGGGAAAGCGCGGAGGCCTGCTCGTGCGTCTTAGGAGGAGAGGAGCGCGTGTCAAACATAGATTTTAGCCTGGGACTCCAAATCTAAAGCCAGTTTTATTTGTGTGTAGTGTTTTGAGTGACCTTGTTTTTATATACTGACTTTGGCTTGAGCCTGGGACAGTCCTGATTGATAGCCCTCCCCCTTATGATTGATTGGTCGGACTGGAGGACTTTCCCCTTTTTAAAACCCGGACAGAGGGACTGAGGGGAGGAAGGAAATCGGAAGCGTTACGGGGGACGAGGACAGAGGACAAGGGGAAACAAGGACCAGCACGCACCAGGACCGGCACGCACCAGGACCGGCACGCACCAGGACCGGCACGCACCAGGACCGGCACGCACGCGGAGCAGCACGTACGAGGAGCAGCACGCCCTAAGGAGAGACCTGCAGAGCCCACATACAACGCCCCGTAAAGCTGAGTATACAGGGACGTGATCAAGCAGCCTCAGTTGGTTTGTGTGCGTGCGCGTGAGACCGGAGCGTGATTGCCCACTCTCTCCGCAGCTGCATTGGCGTGGCGCATCAGGCCCCAGCCCAAGGAGCAGCGGACCCGGAGCAGCGGACCCGGCCCAGCGGAGCAGCGGACCCGGCCCAGCGGATCCAGCTCAGGGGAGCACTGTATATAACGCCAGACGAGCTGAGTACTTACAGGGACGTGAACAAGCTGCCCCAGACTCTGTGTGTGTGTGCGTGCGCGTGAGACCGGCGCCTGATTGCTTGCTCTCTCAGCAGCTACCCTGGTGTGGCGCACCAAGCCCCAGTGGAGCAGCAGACCCGGCCCAGCAGAGAGCGGCCCCAGCAGAGCGGAGCAGTGCGCCAGGCCCAGCCCCAGCAGAGCGGAGCAGCGCGCGCCCGGCCCAGCCCGAGCCCCAGCAGAGCGGAGCAGCGCGCGCCCGGCCCAGCCCGAGCCCCAGCAGAGCGGAGCAGCGCGCGCCCGGCCCAGCAGAGAGCGGCCCCAGCAGAGAGCGGCCCCAGCAGAGAGCGGCCCCAGCAGAGAGCGGCCCCAGCAGAGAGCGGCCCCAGCAGAGAGCGGCTCCTTAACCTTTTATTTTGACCAGACCTTAAGACCCTTAGTCTTATTTTAACTCTTAATTGGCCATTTTAATTAGCGCCATAGGGCATTTTATAATCATATTTATTAATAAAAGTATCTGAAGTCTAAGCCTGTTTATATTCATTTTTAAACAGTTATTGGTTTTTCCACACCTGACACAATTTGGCGTTGCTTGGCAGGACAACCAAAAAAAAACTGTTTGAGAATGAATTCAGGCCAGCAAGGTACGGGCCCGGCCATTACAGCCCAATTTACGATGCCATGGTTTATGGGGGCCGCCTTTATCCCAAAGTTTGATGGCGAGACCAACAAATTCGAACCATGGAAAGCTCAAATAGAAGCTATGCTGAGAGCACAAGGACTGGGCATACCACAAGCAGCAGATTTCATTCTGTCAGCCCTTGAAGGAGATGCCAAGAGAGAGCTGCTTCTCATCAGTCACAGAGAGAAGAATTCCAGCCAAAAGGTATTTGATCTATTACAATCGCTTTATGCAAAACCAGTAAGCAAAGCTCAATTGCGAAGCCATTTTTTTAACTGTAAACAAAGAAATGAGGAAGGTGTAGACGCTTACATCTTACGCCTCCGTGAGCAGTTTAAGAAATGGCAAGATCAAGATGGGGCGGAGGCTGCAGACGAGGACGATTTGCTGCTTGACCAATTAATGGTAGGTTTAAAAAAGGGCCCCATTAAACAAGAACTGAGCAGGCAAATGCGCCGAGAGGGACATATGACTTTTAAAAATGCTTGTAAAGAGGTTAGGGCACTGGCATCTGAGTACGATGAAGAAGATGCTTTACAGTCTAATAGGGTAACTTACGCTCCACAACAAAGAGTAAATTTTGACCATGAACATTTGAAGACTCTGATAAAGGCTGAGCTGAAGGAAGAACTTTTTAAGGACATTAAAATCGAGATGGAAGAACAACTTAAAACTCTCTCTTCTGGCCTTATATCAGAAATTAAGGCACAATTTTCCAACCACCAACAGTCTGCTGGGACTCCAACTGGCCAAAGAGCAAGACCCCAAAGCCGGTCTGTAGGCACACCCTTTAAGTGGGACCCAGAGGGTAGGCCCATTTGTGTGAACTGTGGGGGGGCTGGACACACTCAGCGGTGGTGTCCCCAGAGGCTTCAGAGGTCTCAGGATTTTTGACTCTCCCTGCTGCTGAGGGCCAAGCAGTGGGGGCAGTTCAGTTGGGGGCAGAACCTGAAGCCAGTGCTCCACCGGCCTCAAAGTCTGCCCTAATTGGTGAGTGCCCTGATGTTTTGATTAAGATTAATAACCAGACTATCCCTTTTGTTCTAGACACGGGATCCCAGGTCACCTTGGTCAGCCAGACAATGTTCGAAAAATACCTTAAAGGCACAGGTGTGAGTAGTGCAGACACTGTGCCATGGCTGACTCTCCAGGCCGCAAACGGGTTAGAAATCCCATACATTGGCTATGCCATTGTGGATTGTGTGATAGGAAGTATGGTGGTACCAGGGAAAGGCATAGTAATTGTGAAGGATTATTGTCTAGGCCCAAATAAGGGGATATTGGGAATGAACATAATCAGGTCAGTCTGGTCCACTCTCACACAGGGCAGCCACCCGGGTCTCCTGGCATTCCAGACCACCATGCCAACAACGGAGGGGAGAGTCTGGTCCAGAGCCTTTGTTGACTGCCAGCGGGTCACAGCCAGATGCCAAGCCCCACGCTACGAAGGAGTCGCTAAGCTGCCACACCAGTCCCCAGTCGTCATTCCACCACAATCTGAAATCGTGTTGTGGATGCAGGTAACAAACAGCCCCCCTAATTTGTCTTGTGATGTTCTTCTAGAACCCGTATCGGACGGCGAGTGTGAGTGGCAAGTTGGAAGGACCTTAGCGACCGTGACTGGGGGAAGCGTTCCGTGCCGGGTCTGTAACCCTAATCCATACCCGGTGGAAGTACCCCAGCGGCGGCCCCTTGCCAGAGTCACTGAAATAGATGGCGCTGACGTACAGGGACAGAATGAGCTGGTGCTTAACCCGGTGGCCCCTGACGTAGTGGAAGTAGCTGTGAGGCATGTGGGAATGGTGGTCACACAAGATGAGGCCCCCCACCCAGTCCTGACACTTCAGGGTGAAGGCCTTACGCCTGAACAGCAAGACAAAATGACACAAATGCTAAATGCATGGAGACATGTATTCTCCTCTCATGAGGAGGATTTTGGACGGACGGGGGTGATAAAACATCAAATCCCCACCGGTTCTGCTGCCCCCAGCCGTGAACGGTACCGCCCAGTTCCACCTAGCCTGTACAAGGAACTTCAGACCCTCCTTAAGAATATGCTGGACAGCGGAGTGGTAAAAGAGAGCTCCAGCCCATGGGCAGCCCCAATTGTATTGGTGCGCAAAAAGGATGACAGCTGGAGGTTCTGCATCGACTATAGGAGGCTCAACGCCCTCACCCACAAAGACGCATATCCCCTGCCTCGCATTGAAGAGTCGCTCACCGGGCTAAAAGCAGCCAGGTGGTACTCTACACTGGATTTGGCAAGTGGATACTGGCAGGTGGAGGTGGATGCTGCAGATCAGGAGAAGACTGCATTCACGACCCCGTTTGGACTGTACGAGTTCGAGCGGATGCCGTTTGGACTATGCAATGCCCCTGCCACCTTTCAGCGGCTAACCTTGTTAATGACTTTCTCCTAATCTACCTTGATGATGTCGTGGTGTTTTCCCCAGATTTTCAGAGCCACATGCAGCACCTGGAGGACGTTTTCCAAAGGTTGAACCAACATGGCCTCAAACTACAACCAAAGAAGTGCCACCTGTTCAGACGACACGTAACCTATTTGGGCCACGTTATCAGTGAGAACGGGGTGGCTACTGACCCAGCCAAGACTGACGCTGTTCGAGACTGGCCCATACCACAAACAGTAAGGCAAGTAAAGTCATTTCTGGGCTTTGCAGGATACTACCGCAGGTTTATCCCGGGCTTTTCAAAGATTGCTAGGCCTCTCCATGCCCTGACCCGTAACACTGCATTAGAGAGGAAATCCACACAGGTGGTGTGGACTAATGAATGCCAAGAAGCTTTCGATTCACTTAAACTTGCCCTGCTGGACGCTCCCATTTTGGCATACGCAGACTTTACTCAGCCATTTAGGTTGTATACCGATGCAAGTTTTGATGGGCTCGGGGCAGTGCTAGCCCAAATCCAGGATGGGAAGGAAAGGGTAGTTGCTTATGCCAGCAGAAGTCTCCAAGCCTCTGAACGAAATGACCAAAACTATAGTTCTTTTAAATTGGAACTGCTGGCCTTGAAGTGGGCGGTAACTGAAAAGTTCAAGGATTATCTGTACGGGTCAGAGTTCACAATCTTCACTGACAATAACCCCCTGGTGCATCTCGAGACTGCGCGCCTAGGGGCCACTGAACAGAGATGGGTGGCCCAGTTGGCCAACTTCAGGTATTCAATCAAATACCGCCCAGGCACAGAGAATAAAAATGCTGATGCACTTTCCAGGCTCCATGAAAAGAGGCCAGAGGAAGCACTTGTACAAGCTGTGGATGCTGTGGTCTCCAATGAGGGAACCTGGGAGGAGTACCAGAGCGAAGACTCAGATCTTGCCCAGCTTCTGCAGTGGAAAACACTCGGACCCCTTAAGCCTGAGGTACGTGGACACTTTTCCCCTTACATGGGCTGATAAGGGACTGGGATAGGATTAAAGTGAAAGGGGGTGTGCTGGTGAGAGAGTGGGAAGAGGGAGGCTCCGAACTCAGGTTGTCCCAAGTTCTGGTCCCAAAACGGAAAGCTCAAGATGTGTGGAAAAACTATCACGAGGGGATGGGACACCCAAGTTGCGAGCGGACTTTAGCTATTGTAAGACAGCGTTGTTACTGGCCAGGAATGGCCCGGGACATTAAGGGCTGGACAAAATCATGTCACCAGTGTGTCTGCAATAGAGCTGGCCCTTCCGGAAGGGCCCCACTGCACCCAGTTAGCACCTCATACCCTTTTGAGGTTGTAGGCATAGACTATTTGTCCCTTGGGCGCCCAGACGATCGCTACCAATATATACTTGTGATGACTGATCTATTTTCAAAGTATGCTGTTGCAGTGCCCACAAAGGACCAGTCAGCTGAGACTACAGTGAAAGCCCTTTACACTCACCTGATCCACACGTTCGGCTGTCCGGAACGTATATTGTCCGATCGTGGGGCTGCCTTTGAATCTGCACTCATGGCCCAGCTCTGCCAACTCTACGGGTGTAAGAAGAGCCGCACTACAGCATATCATCCGCAAGGTAACGGGGCTTGCGAAAGATTCAACCAAACACTAATAAGACTCTTGAGCTCCCTGACAGAAACTCGGCAGACCCAATGGCCCACTAGCCTCCCCACACTGGTGCAAGCCTATAACAATACAGTGCACAGTACTACAGGGATTACGCCACACTACCTGGTATTTGGACGACACGCGAGGCTCCCTGTAGACTGGATGACTGGCTTGGGAACCACCGGAGAGAACCACACTCTAGACCAGGGGTGTCAAACTCATTTTGGTCCAGGGGCCACATACAACCTAATCTGATCTCAAGTGGGCCGGACCAGGAGATGCTCTACAAAAATATCCAAAAACGGTACAAAGTCCAACTTTTTGAGCACATAAACACATTTATTTAAAACTTCCTTTAAAACACTATCCTTTAATACTCAGTTTTCTGTTACAAACTTAAATGTAACAGTGAGTTTTCCATAGTGCAAATAATGTAATGTATTTACAATATTAAATTGAAAATGGTATTTCACAATATGTATATTAATATTTGTATGTTAGCTTTGTTTTAAGGCTCATTACAGAGAAAACTTGCTCACAAAGGTAAAGTAGATAGAAAAAAGCACTTTACACAGCACCTCAGCTTAACCATCTACAGTGTGGTAAGGTCCATGGTTATGTTATTATCACATTAACCATCTTCAGTGTGTAAGGTCCATGGTTATGTTATTATCAGTTTAACCATCTTCAGTGTGGTAAGGTCCATGGTTATGTTATTATCACATTAACCATCTTCAGTGTGGTAAGGTCCATGGTTATGTTATTATCAGTTTAACCATCTTCAGTGTGGTAAGGGCCATGGTTATGTTATTATCACATTAACCATCTTCAGTGTGGTCAGGTCCATGGTTATGTTATTATCACATTAACCATCTTCCGTGTGGTCAGGTCCATGGTTATGTTATTATCACATTAACCATCTTCAGTGTGGTCAGGTCCATGGTTATGTTATTATCACAGAGAAAGCATCAAACTGACCATGATTCAGTTGAAATGAATAAAACAACTTCCATAACGTGATCCATTCTTAACGACTGCAGCAGTGTCTCTGTGTAAAACACAGTCAAATGTCCAAAAATCATCACCTCCATTTGCAGCTTTGTCACTACACCTGTTTTTACCATCGGTACCAGTCCACACTGTCCAACACACCAGCAACAACAGCAGAACCAGCAGCAGCGCTCAAAACTCCTCTGATAGTTTCAGTAACACCACAAATGAATATGTGACATCAGTAACATCAGTCTCTTATCAATGGCAACATGTTGGTAAAAGCGAGTGGTTTCTCAGACCATGTCTGCAGCCTGTGAGAGTTTTAACAAACTCTCTCTCACTGTGCGGCTGCGATGCTAATGCTAATGTTGTTAGCACAGGTAGCTTCCCTTCACAGCAGCAGAACTAACCTCTCGCTCTGGGCACAAACAGACTGCTGTGGCTTCAGGGCCAGACAGGTTTATCTTCTGTTTTCTCAATTCTCCGCTCAAAGTGCCGTATTTTTCGCCGAGTCTTGTAGTTTAAGATGTTATTCCTCCAGCACCGCTCTGGTGGAGCCACTACAGACGCACTGGACTCACCCCTGAGCGCGGCGCTGCGGCGTCGCGTCGCGGAGCCTCGCGTCGCCTCGCGTCGCGGAGTGGCATTTTAAAATGTATCATTATTATATTTTTACATAAATGAGCCGCGGGCCGTGTCAAATCTCTTGGCGGGCCGGTTCCGGCCCGCGGGCCGTATGAATGACACCCCTGCTCTAGACGGATGGGTAAAACAACACCATGAGGCCCTAAATCTTGCGTACCAGACAGCAAAGGCACAGTCCAGACGCAGGAGGGAGCAAGATGAGGGCCGGTATAATCTTAAAGCCAGACTTGGACCACTACTACCAGGTGAGTGTGTCCTAATCCGTGTCTTCCGCAAGGGGTCGAGGGGAAAGCTAACACCAAAATGGGGCCCGGAGCCATTTGTGGTGGTGAGGAGACTCCAGGAAGACCACCCGACCTACATGGTTCGACCGGAGGGGAGAGAAGCACCTAGCCGTACGGTTCACCGGAATAACCTCCGTCTTTGCCCAATTGACTTTGTGCAGGAAAGGCAGCAACCGGCAGCACCACAACTATCAATTGGACACAAAGCTGATGAGCTGCCCCCCCCCACACTTTGGCTCCCAAGGCTGGCGCAACCAGAGCTCCCCCGCAACGAAGCACCCCAGCCAGTAAGCTCACCTGACCCAAGAAATGGCCCAGTTCCCCTTGTGAGACGTTCCCACCGGTCAAATATTGGCAGGCCCCCTGTTCGGTATCAAAGGTAATTGGCCGGGACGACCAACTATAGAGGTGGGGGGTAAATGTCAAACATAGATTTTAGCCTGGGACTCCAAATCTAAAGCCAGTTTTATTTGTGTGTAGTGTTTTGAGTGACCTTGTTTTTATATACTGACTTTGGCTTGAGCCTGGGACAGTCCTGATTGATAGCCCTCCCCCTTATGATTGATTGGTCGGACTGGAGGACTTTCCCCTTTTTAAAACCCGGACAGAGGGACTGAGGGGAGGAAGGAAATCGGAAGCGTTACGGGGGACGAGGACAGAGGACAAGGGGAAACAAGGACCAGCACGCACCAGGACCGGCACGCACCAGGACCGGCACGCACCAGGACCGGCACGCACGCGGAGCAGCACGTACGAGGAGCAGCACGCCCTAAGGAGAGACCTGCAGAGCCCACATACAACGCCCCGTAAAGCTGAGTATACAGGGACGTGATCAAGCAGCCTCAGTTGGTTTGTGTGCGTGCGCGTGAGACCGGAGCGTGATTGCCCACTCTCTCCGCAGCTGCATTGGCGTGGCGCATCAGGCCCCAGCCCAAGGAGCAGCGGACCCGGAGCAGCGGACCCGGCCCAGCGGAGCAGCGGACCCGGCCCAGCGGATCCAGCTCAGGGGAGCACTGTATATAACGCCAGACGAGCTGAGTACTTACAGGGACGTGAACAAGCTGCCCCAGACTCTGTGTGTGTGTGCGTGCGCGTGAGACCGGCGCCTGATTGCTTGCTCTCTCAGCAGCTACCCTGGTGTGGCGCACCAAGCCCCAGTGGAGCAGCAGACCCGGCCCAGCAGAGAGCGGCCCCAGCAGAGCGGAGCAGTGCGCCAGGCCCAGCCCGAGCCCCAGCAGAGCGGAGCAGCGCGCGCCCGGCCCAGCCCGAGCCCCAGCAGAGCGGAGCAGCGCGCGCCCGGCCCAGCCCGAGCCCCAGCAGAGCGGAGCAGCGCGCGCCCGGCCCAGCCCGAGCCCCAGCAGAGCGGAGCAGCGCGCGCCCGGCCCAGCAGAGAGCGGCCCCAGCAGAGAGCGGCCCCAGCAGAGAGCGGCCCCAGCAGAGAGCGGCTCCTTAACCTTTTATTTTGACCAGACCTTAAGACCCTTAGTCTTATTTTAACTCTTAATTGGCCATTTTAATTAGCGCCATAGGGCATTTTATAATCATATTTATTAATAAAAGTATCTGAAGTCTAAGCCTGTTTATATTCATTTTTAAACAGTTATTGGTTGTTCCACACCTGACACGCGCACGGCTCTCCCCGGCATTTTTCTCTCCAACGTACGCTCACTGGGCAATAAGATGGACGAACTCAGCCTGCTCATGAGAAGAAACAAGGACTTCGCCACATCCTGTGTCCTCTGCTTCACTGAGACCTGGCTAAATGAGCGGATCCCGGACTGCGCTCTGGAACTGCAGGGCTTTGGGCTGTTCCGCGCGGATCGCCATTGTGCGCTATCAGGGAAGAGCAGAGGCGGTGGGCTGTATTTCTACGTCAATACAAACTGGTGTAACGATGTGACAGTGATCTCCAAGCACTGCTCTCCTGCTCTGGAATATCTTTTCATTCATTGTAAACCATATTACTCCCCGCGTGAAATTGTTTAATTCATTCTTGCCTCTGTTAAAGGCACACCGCGGACTTTGTGACCTAAAGAGTTGACACATATGAGTTATTTTATATGAATACTTGGGCCAATATACAGCGCTTGACACTTGCAATGCTCCGAGCGGGGCTGCCCTCTTGAAATACCGCCCATGTAAGTTTCGAGCAGACGGACCGTCTGCCACCAGGTCCCGTGACTTGGAAGAAAGACTTGCTTTACGGCTACAGGCGCTGATATACTCATGGAGCTAAGGCTTTTGCTACTCATTTTTCACCTGCTCGACTCCTGGTCATGGCTGAGGCAAGGAAAAATGTTAAACCTTCGGAGGAGGCTAAAAAGAGGAAACGCGAAAGGGATCGTGCTGTAAGCTGCATGTCTGTATGAGCGCTGCTCTTCACCTGGTTCCTGGATGTCATCGACTGCAAAGATGTCATTCCACGCAGCACGAGCTAGACGCAGAACTCCCTCATCCAGGATATAGAAGTCCATGTGTGGTAGATTACTAATGCAGCGGTCTGGAGGCTGACCACAGCAGAGTCTCTCAATATCTGTAGGCATGTCTCTACAGTTTGAACACACACACCAGTGCATGCTGTCTGAATACACACTCAAAAGACACCGGCTGACTGTTTGTTGACTTTTGCGACAGTGCTGAGTTGCTTGTGGCCACTAGGGGCGCTAAACGTGAAAGTTGCAGGTCTAGCGCCCCTAGTGGCCAAGAGTTACACGGTGTGCCTTTAACATACCGCCATGCGCGGACGCGCGCGAGGCTCAGCGCGCACTCGCAGAGCAAGTACTGTGTATGGAACGTTTATACCCGGACTCTCTGATTATTATCCTGGGGGATTTTAACAAGGGAAACTTGAGCCAGGAATTACCCAAATACAGACAGTTTATCAAATGCCCGACCAGAGAGGAGAACACTCTGGATCACTGTTACACCACCGTACGCGGAGCTTTTCGCGCTGTTCCCAAGCCAGCCCTCGGCTTCTCAGATCACTCCATGATACATCTGGTTCCTGCTTACAGACAGAAACTAAAGCTCTCGAAACCTGCAGTGAGGAGCTCCAAAGTGTGGTCTGATGAAGCTGTGGAAGAGCTGCGCGCATGCATGGAATCTACAGACTGGGACCTTTTCAGAGCTGCCACAGACAGCTTGGATGAATATACGGACACTGTGACATCATACATTCACTTCTGTGAGGATAGCATCATTCCAACAAGGACCAGGGTCATCTATAACAACGACAAACCCTGGTTCACTGCTCGACTCCGGCAGCTCAGGAAAGCAAAGGAGTCTGCTTTCAGGGAGGGGGACCGCAGCGGCTACAAAGCAGCTAAATATCAGTTCAGGAAAGAACTGAAAGCAGCCAAGTCCCGGCACAGAGAACTGCTCCCGACTACAGGAGCAGTTTGGTAACAACGATACTGCTTCTGTCTGGAGGGGCCTACGGGAGATCACCAACTACAAACCCAAAGCCCCCCCCTGTGCTGACGACCACAAGCTAGCTGACGAACTGAACTTATTTTTCAGTCGCTTTGATGCTGCCCCTGACACCTCTCCCTCCCCCACCCCCCACTACTCTAACGACCCACCCCATCAGCCCTGCCCCCAGCCTAACAATAGCCTCTAAAGACATTAAACAACTCTTACTGAGGCTGCACCCCCGCAAAGCTCCTGGCCCGGACCACGTGTCTCCGGCCACTCTGAGACACTGCGCCAGTGAGCTTACTCCTGTGTTCACGGACATTTTCAACACCTCTCTGCAGTCCTGCCATGTCCCGGCCTGCTTCAAATCCTCCATCATTGTCCCCGTCCCGAAGAAGCCCAGGATCACAGGACTCAATGACTACAGACCTGTAGCACTTACGTCTGTCGTCATGAAGTCTTTTGAACGCCTGGTTCTCTCCCATCTCAAGTCCCTCACCTCCCCCCTCCTGGACCCCCTGCAGTTCGCCTACAGAGCCAACAGATCTGTAGACGACGCCATTAACCTGGCCCTCCACCACATCCTACAGCACCTGGACTCCCCGGGGACCTACGCCAGGGTCCTGTTCGTGGACTTCAGCTCTGCCTTCAACACAATCCTGCCATCCCTGCTCCAGGACAAGCTCTCCCAGCTCAACGTGCCCGATTCCACCTGCAGGTGGATCACTGACTTCCTGACGGACAGGAAGCAGCGAGTGCGTCTGGGGTAGAATGTCTCGGACTCTCGGATTATAAATACAGGAGCCCCACAGGGCTGTGTTCTTTCTCCCCTGCTCTTCTCCCTGTACACCAACCACTGCACCTCCAGCCACGACTCTGTGAAGCTGATCAAGTTCGCGGACGACACCACCCTCATTGGACTCATCTCCAACAACGATGAGTCCGCCTACAGGAGGGAGGTGGACCGGCTGGTGTCCTGGTGCAGTGGTAACAACCTGGAGCTGAACGCCCAGAAGACAGTGGAGATGATTGTGGACTTCAGGAAGAGCACTGTCCCCCCGCCCCCACCCTCCGTGATGGACTCCCCCATCACCTCTGTGGAGTCCTTCCGTTTCCTGGGCACGACCATCACCCAGGACCTCAAGTGGGAGCCGATCATCAGCTCCCTCATCAAGAAGGCCCAGCAGAGGATGTACTTCCTGCGGCAGCTCAGGAAAGCCAAGCTGCCTGCACAGATGTTGGTGCAGTTCTACACGGCCATCAACGAGTCCATCCTCACCTCCTCCGTCACCGTGTAGTTCGCTGGAGCCACAGTCAGGGACAAACAGAGACTACAGTGCATTGCGCGCTCTGCAGAGGAAGTGATCGGCCGCAGCCTTCCATCGCTGCAGGACCCGTACGTCGCCCGAGCTCGAGGCCGGGCTGGTCGTATCACAGCCGACTCCTCTCACCCTGCACATGGACTATTCCAACCACTCCCCTCAGGCAGGAGGCTGCGGTCCATCAGGACTAGAACCTCCCGCCACAAGAACAGTTTCTTCCCCTCTGCTGTTGGACTCTTGAACACTTCTTAACCTGTCCCCCCGTCCTTTATAAAGTCACTTTACTGCCCATCATACGTCACTTTACTTCACTGTACTGCTGTCACCTTACATTGTGTGCACCATGTGCACTTGTATATTGTAAATAGTAACTGTAACTCTATTTTAAATTTAAATTTATTCTTTAGAAGTGTTTTTTATTCTTATTTTTATTATCTCTTTTTGACTGTTGCACTGAGCCAAAGCAATTTCCTAGTCTGTGACCTCCTGTTACTTACGTGGCAATAAAAATGATTCTGATTCTGATTCTGATTCTGATCCATGGGAGAGACCAGTGCAGACCTGTATATATCCATTGGAGAGACCAGTGCAGAGACTCAGCACAGACCCCGCTACCTCCTGCAGCAGTATATATGCCATTGTTCTGTGGCCCGTGGAGAAAGCCGTTAGGAAACATTATTAAAAAGCAGGGAATTAATTTCCACTGCTATGCAGATGACACACAGCTTTATCTGTCGATGAAGCCAAATCAGACAGATCAGCTTGAAAAGCTTAGTGCCTGCATAAAGGACCTTAAAACGTGGATGACTCTTAACTTCCTACTTCTCAACCCGGAGAAGACAGAAGTGATCCTACTCGGTCCGAAGCGCCTGCGTGACTCCCTTACTAACCAGATAATCACTCTCGATAATGTCAGTATTATACCCAGTAACAGTGTGAGGAATCTTGGAGTAATTTTTGACGAAGAACTCTCCTTCAAGGTTTATAAGCCAAGCGACTAAAACGGCGTACTTCCACTTACGGAACATTGCTAAAATCAGAAATTTCCTTCCTAAAAGTGACGCGGAAAAACGTATTCACGCTTTTGTCACCTCAAGACTTGACTACTGTAACGCTTTCTTGGCAGCATGCCCTAAAACCTCTTTGAAGAGCTTCCAGCTCGTTTAGAATACAGCAGCTAGGATCTTAACAGGTACCAAAAGGAGGGAGCACATAACTCCGGTGTTAAAATCACTCCACTGGCTCCCTGTGGAGTACAGAATAAAGTTTAAAATCCTTCTCTTAACACATAAAGCCATAAATGGCTTGGCTCCTTCCTATCTCCAAGACACGTTAGTGTCATATCAACCAAGTCGAGCGTTGCGCTCACAAAACGGCAGACGTCTGGTGGTTCCTAAGGTCTCAAAAATCACTGTTGGCGGCAGAGCATTTAGCTCCAAGCTCCTTTACTGTGGAATCAGCTTCCCATTTATGTTAAGGAAGCAGATACGGTCTCCACATTCAAGGCCAGGCTTAAAGCACTCTACTTTAATTTAGCATATGATTAGGTAATATATAATATATGGTGTATATATTATATATTATATATATATATATATATATATATATATATATATATATATATATAAGCCAAATCAGGTCCCAGTCCTGTGCCCTACCAACTGAGCTATCCAGCTATATATATATATATATATATATATATTAACAGCACATTAACACCAACATCCAGT